TAAACTGTCGAAAGATTGTGAACCTCAGCGTACTGCTTACAATTTAACGTATTATTATTCGGTAGATTGTAATCTATCGAAGTGAAACCGTCAAATTGTGAAACGGTTATTTTCTACTTTTCTATTGGTTATAAGAGATGTGACATTCTCGTTTTCTATTGGTTATAAGTGATGTGACATTCTCGGTAAATTAATCGAATCGATTATTTCCTCATTTGTTAATTTTAAATTTAAACCTAATTTAACCATTATTTGTCAAATGTACATACATTACATTAACTTCATGTTTCAGTTAGTGTAGGGTTCCGAAAATTTTGAAATTATTCAAAAAGTACCCAAAACCGAATCAGAGCACCCCACTATCCACGTGGTCTTGTCTGCCCTACCCCTAGAGTGTATATAAAAAATCGGAGGCGCGGAGGAAGAGCAGCCCCCACCCGCTGTAACAAAGCACAGGCATTATGCAAGCCATAGCGGCTAAGGCTTGGCTAATTGAAACATGAACTTAATGTAAAATATGTACATTTGACAAGTAATGGTTAAATTAGGTTTAACTTTAAAATTAACAAATGTGGAAATAATCGATTCGATTAGGTTCAACTTTAAAATTAACAAATGAGGAAATAATCGATTCGATTAATTTACCGAGAATGTCACATCACTTATAACCAATAGAAAACGAGAATGTCACATCTCTTATAACCAATAGAAAAGTAGAAAATGGCCGTTTCACAATTTGACGGTTTCACTTCGATAGATTACAATCTACCGAATAATAATACGTTAAATTGTAAGTAGTACGTTGAGTTCACAATCTTTCGACAGTTTACAATCTCGCGAGATAGATTACAATCTAACGGTGTTTACAATTTTACGGTGACATATATAATATGGACTCGAGTTCCTCACATATACGCCCATTTGAATGTTTGTATCCCATAACATCCTCCTTCCCGTTATAAAAAAAAAAGGGTGCGTGTACTTATGTACGCGCGTAAGAAGTTATACTTCTTTGGCTTTCTTTATTTTTTTTTAATATTAAATAATTAATAACAAATATTTAACGTTAATAATTTAATAATATTAAATATTTAGTATATTATTCAATTATTAATTAATATTAATAATAATAATTATTATTATTTATTATTTTATTATATTATTCATTCAATTTAATAACTACGTATGGTTCATAACCTTTTAACTAAGTAACAATAGGTCTTTGTGAAAAAGCATTGCTAAATTTCTTTGAAAAAATAATTAAAACTCCTTTATTTGTTTAAAATGTAAATGTCATTATGGTCATTCAAAATTCTTGGCATAGCTGCTAACTTCACGCATATTCTATTTCTTTTTACTTGTAGATTGTCTTATTCCCATCTCGCTCGCGCACGCTATAATCACACTGACAACTTTGTGTCTCAGGTGCGCGCGCATCGTAAAATTTCACTCTCATCAATTTTTCATAACGCGCCTAAAGAAGTAGAACTTCAAAAAATAAAAGAATAGGCACAGAAGGCCTTTATTGAAGTTATACTTCTTTTGGCGCGTTAGGGAAAAATAATGAGAGTAAATTTTTACGATGCTCACCGTCGACATTTTAGTCAAAATCTTAGTTTTTTCTATTGTTAGTGTCGTTTTTTCCACAAACATAGAATAGGTCAAAAGATAAAATGTTTGAACAGATTTTTATCTTGTTACGTTTAAAAAAAGTATATCTTTAACGCGTGTACATAAGTACGCGCACATTTTTTTTACTTGCTAAATAAATTAGATTTATCTTATTTAATAATATTTACAGTGGGTGACATCACGGGTTTTCCTCCACTCGGCCGTGTGTCGCATGATGGCTGGCGCAGCCCCACGTCGCACGCAGCAGTTGCTGGATGGATCATTACGACCGAGGCTAAATAGATCCTCTATTATTTGTGGAAAAGGTATACATATATTATTAATAGGTTGTATTAGTAGACGTATAACACAAAAGTCTGCCAATAGGGTAAGAATTTTTTTAGCCCAACTTAAGACTAATAAATAATTCAAAAGCTTATTTACTTTAAAAAAATATTTAATATAAGTGTCCCATACTTACAGTCTCTATTAAGAGGAAGACACTATTCATGGTAGAATGTTTTTCTCTGAAACCAACTTGGTAATCCGGTGTGAGCTGCTTCTTGTTGATGATAGGGTTTCTAGTATTTCCATGTGCGCTTTTAACATTCGCTCGAACGGTGAAGGAAAACATCGTGAGGAAACCAATTTGACTCAAAAAGTCGACGGCATGTGTCAGGCACAAGAGGCTGATATAACTTGCCTATTAGATTGACAAATGATCGGAGGTAGAGAAAAACCTGAGGCCCAGACCTAAAAAGGTTGTAGTGGCAATGATTTTTTTTAAGTTACTATACAGTGAGAAAAACAAAAATTATCGACAATTAAAATTAAGTATTGAGAATTACAAATTTTAATCTTATACCTATATAAAATTCTCGTGTCACAATGTTAGCTACCATACGCCTCCGAAACGGCTTGACCGATTTTTATCAAATTTTATATGCATATTCAGTAGGTCTGAGAAGCGGCTACTATCTATCTTTCAACCCCCTAAGTGATAAGGGGTCCCCCCCAAAAAATAAATTTTTTAGTTTTTATTTTTTTATGATACTTACAGTATACAAAAATACATATAACCCCTAATTTTCACCCCTCTACGATCAACCCCTATTTTTTATTATTGTAGATAGCTATTATTGAACTAAAAAAATTTGTCATAGAAATAATAAACATGGTAAAACAACGTTTGCCGAGTCAGCTAGTTATTATAATAATATTAAAATTTCTAGAACGGGCCCTAGAAAGTGGGGGCGGTGAGGGTGAACGCGCAGTAGCCTTATACATGGCGTGCAAACACCTGCCCAGCGCAGTTCTAGCTGCCCCGGGCGAAAGGGCTGGAATGCTGCAACGTGCTGCTGCCACTTTACAGCGCATCGGACATCGCAGCCGCCTGCCGCATTGCTATCGGCTTATGAAATCCTTTGGGACTTTGCCTGTTGCACCATAGATCACAAATTTCTAGGTTTTAAATATTTTTTGTGTATTCCATTGTTTCGTTTCACATCGTATATTTATTTAGAGATAGATCACAAATTTCTAGCTTTCAAATATTTTTTATTTTTGTCTGTATAGTCTAAGTTATAAAATGCAATTTTTCTATAATTGCATTAAATTAATGAGTAAGTTATAAAAATAAAACTCACTGAAAAGTAACTTATCCGCCTTGTAAAACGTGGATAAAATTTGTCTGTTACCATGGTAACGATGTTATTTCCAAATAAATAAATGATAACCATAGTAACAAATGACAGTTTAATAACAAGACCGAAGAGGTTTTGTATAAAAAATATTTATAAACTGAAATTTGATATTTTTTACAAATTTAATGTCTATTATTAATTCATAGTGCCCACCCATAAAATGTTTAATAAACTGAGAATATATTTGGAATGAAACATTTAAAAATTTGCCTGAATTTGCGCTCAGTAAATTCTTACCTCAAAATAACTATTCGAATGTAGAGATTACTCAGTGACAAGTGAAGTTTTTTGAGAATTGACAGATGACATATGTCACTACTATCTATTATTAATTATTTAAAAGTTTTCACTTACAAAGTATAGTAAATTAAAAATATAATTGCGAAACGCATTGTCATTCTATTTTAAGAATTGAGAGCACGAACAATGTTTCATAGAATTATTCTTTTACCTACGCGACGTAATAGGCTATTTGACAGTATGACAAATAAACGGTTACTGAGAGTACAAGTGCTAAGTACCTGTATAAAACGTGGCTTTAAAAACAAGAAATTAGAATCATATTGGATTTTTTTACGTCATCCTCGGGCCGTAACAACCACAGAATATTCGAATCGACGATAACATACCGTGCTTGTAAATATGTTTTCGCCTTATCCTAATACTCACTTTGAATTTCGACGAGGAGTGTTTTTGATCGAAATATAACTATTTTTATTAATTAATGATCAATTTTTCAACTTATCGTTTGTTTACGTATTTACAGACTTGGTATGTCACAGGAACCTTGCGACGCCATCTTGTCTAGAGAAGCGTTTTTGAAATTATGAATGTTTAATCTGAATCTTATAAGCCAATATTTAACAGAATTAAAAATAATACATATACTAACTTTTAATCTATTTTTTTTTACAATCTTGTCAAGTAGCGTGTTACCACTACGAATAAAAAGACCCACTGAAATCTTTTAAGAATAACTGTCTTGTTAGTTTAGTTTTCAGAATGACCGATAATATATAATATTTTGTATGTTAAGAATGTGAATTTTGAAATAGATTATGTATACTTTCATTTAATGATAAGTCGACCATTATAAGCTGTTAAAAATGTGTTTTAGCTTTAAATGTAGTTTGTACTACTTTTTACTTGTGTAATGATAAAGTTTTTACAAAAAAAATGCGTTTTGTCATTATTAGTGTGAAATTAAACATCGGATCTCAACTCGGCCAGATGGGATGTTGTACAAGCACATCTTCCCTTAACACTTTAATCGAAATTCTCCTCGGAAAAGCTCCTACTAGTATCGGTAATTGAATATATAAACATCAAACGTTTAATTAAATAAAAAAAATATTAAGAATAAAAATTATCATGACATTTACCTACCTGTAAAATGTACCGAAACGTTTTAAAAGGTAGTTTCTCTGATACTGGAGGCGTTTACTTTTTTTTAAATATAGAACCCATCTGTGGTTTATCATAAACACCAGAAAATATATTATTACTTATCTGTGCCCTCTTCATAATTAGTAATCTGTGGGCAAATTCAGTACGATTTTTAAAAACAATTGAAACTTGGTGATAATAATTTCGATAAACTTATATCTGAAAATTATATTTTTAAGGATTTACGTGTAATTGATAATTAGTAAACAACCCAGAGAAGAATATTGGTTAGGGTTTATCATGGTGCGTATTACTAGTATACTTTTCCTGGTCAAATTATTGATTATCTTAAGTTAGGTATTCCAATAATATATTGGAATACCAAACTAGGAATATAAATTCCAATCGAATAATATACAATATAACTGCGTCAAAATATTGCAGTGAGTCGAGTTGTGTTGTGTATTATTTATATAATGTTATTTTAAGGCAACTGTGGTAGCTAATCCACCGAAAAAGACTAGCAATTCTAACAACCAAGCACCAACTGGCGTTCGTAAAAAGTCTGGACCAAAATTTGAACTTTCTGAAGAACAAAAGAGGGATATTAAAGAAGCTTTTGATTTATTTGATACAGAAAATACTGGTAAAATAGACACTAAAGAATTAAAAGTAGCTATACGCGCTCTAGGATTTGAGCCAAAGAAAGAGGAAATAAAAAAAATGATTGCAGAAATAGATAAAGGTGATGGGAAAGTCTCGTTTGATGATTTTTTAGATTTAATGACAGTTAAAATGGCTGAAAAAGATACAAAGGAGGAAATAATGAAGGCTTTCAAACTTTTTGATGATGATGAAACAGGTAATTTTCGAAATTTTATAATTGTTCTTTACAGTATCTATGTATCAATTAATGCCATCTTAGCTTTGAAACCCACTTGGTTTATTTTATGAATACATGTTGCATTCTTTTCTTTATTTTTTAAGAAAAATAGTCATCATTAAGATCATTGCTAACAAGAAAATAGTTCCTTAATATTTATTAGAGGACCACCCTCTTTATTTCTTCAATGTCTTTACTCATATATCTTATTTTTCATGTTTACAGGAAAAATATCTTTTAAAAACCTAAAAAGAGTTGCAAAAGAATTAGGTGAAAATTTAACTGATGAAGAACTTCATGAAATGATAGATGAGGCAGATCGGGATGGCGATGGTGAAATAAACCAAGAAGAGTTTTTACGCATTATGAAGAAAACTAGTCTATATTAGGTTTAGTATTTTTATGAAAGAGCACAAAAGCTTTTAGTTTTTATGTGGCTGACACTATGTATACTGTAAATATGGCTTACCAACCATTTTTTTAAAGTTAAAATGTACATTTTTTCTTTTTATGATTGTTTCAAAGAAGTATTAAGAGCTATAAATTGAAAAAATACAAAGTCAATATTCAGTGCATTCAAGCTAGCACTAAAAATATAAAGTTAAGTAATTTACTAAATATTTTCTTCATTATATTTCTCTAAATGAGTATATTATGTCTCTCAATCAATGTTGTCAACCTCAATTTAAGACAGCTGTTAATTCTGTTGTACAATTTATATTTTTAAGACAGTATATGTGGATACTTCTAATCATTTGTTATTCTGTTATTACTTATAGAAAACTTACTTAAAGCAGGCTTAGTGTTTTGGCTTATGCAAGTACGACAAATTTTAAAAGAAACAAATTGTTTGTTTTACATTTGTTTACAAACAATAATGTGGTTTACAGTTCTTGAAAATGATGTTATAAAATAGCCTTCATATCCATTAAACAACTTTGACTAGAAGCAGACTTTTTACACTACTTTTCAGTGTAATTGGACTCCCAAAAAATTGTCATGGTCTGATTGATAAACCTGTCTAGTACTTAAATATATTAATTTCTCATTTCAAAAAACATTGAAAATATTTTGATTCAGTATCCTTGTTATAAAAATTAGGAGTAACGTCACATGTATCTATTATTCAGTATTATTTGCACAACTATTATTTAAGGTTAGTTAAGACTTTACCTAATAAAAAATTATATTCTATAAAATCTGTTTATGTACAAAAACTAAGGTCACAGAGTTATCTTTGCAATGATAGCAGCAAAGTAACAATGGTTCTATAATTTTTATATAATATTTAGATCTGAAAATATTTTGTATGTTTCTACTGAATTTAATTTTGTATTCTGTGTAACACAATGGATACATTAAATGTTTATAAAATGATCAGTTGTTTAGGTGTGTAACTAATTGATTTACTTCAACAGCCACATTATGTATTTTAATCAAGGTTTTTTGATAACCAAGTCAATTTCCATGTTCATGTATTGCAGATTAAAATATTTTTTATTTAGACAAAAATGTGCCACAAATTTATTAAATGTTAATAAAAATACATAAAATACTTCTTTAAAAGTTAACATATAAACAATTTATAAAAAGGTAGAAAACATTGAGATAACAAATTTATCTATCTAAACAGATCTTTCTATAACAGTGCCTTCTGCTTGGCCAAAATATGCTTTTTCACACATCTTAACAAATAAACCAATTTCAACAACACCAGGCATCAACTTTATGATGTTGCTTGTTTTTTCCCAATCTAAATCTTGATTTGTAAACATCCAATCTAAGATGAAATTGCCATTGTCCGTAACAACAGGCCCTGCTTTAGCTATTGCACTGCGTAGCTTTATCTCACCACCAAACATAGCCACAACCTTATTTTTAATAGGAACATAAGCCATAGGAATAACTTCAATAGGAATTCCTTTTTTATACCTATCACCAAGTTTTTTAGAATCTTTAGTGTAGTCTGCTATTACTATCATTTTCTTTGAGCAGGATGCAACAATTTTTTCTTGTAGTAAGCACCCTCCTCCACCTTTTATCAATGTCATATTGGAATCTACTTCATCCGCCCCATCTATTGTTACATCTATGTTTGGGTGAGTTTCCAACTCTCCAAGAGTTAAATTATATTTTATAATCAATTGTTTTGCTTGGAAAGAGGTTGGTATACAGATTACCTTCAAGTTTTCTGTTTCTACTCTCTCAGCTAGTCGTTGTACCGCGTATACAACAGTTGAACCGCTTCCAACTCCAAAAACACAGTGACCTTTTACAAATTCATCCACTGCCCGGTATGCAGCCACTTGCTTGGCTTTTTCTAAAGACATTTTTGGCAGTTCCCGTGAATGTAGAAATCTTTTATTTATTCCGTTAATGCAAGGATACCGAAATTTGAAGAAAATGTTCTTAAACATGCGAACATCTATTTATAAAGTTAGTGTTTGAATTTTGGGTTGAGTTAGCTGAAAAAGTTTAAGAGTTCAAATTTAAATCGAGTTGAATATCGAATACAACCACAGGCTCAACTTTGAAGTTTGAAGTTTGAACTAGTGCATGTGCATACTGCATAGTGAACAGTTGACATAGGGATTTTTGTTAACAGTATCAACTAGATTTGATTGATACAAAAAGTCATATTGTATTCTGTGAGTGTTAGGTCAAATTGAAAACAACTTAATGTGAGTGTTAGGTCAAATTGAAAACAACTTAATGTGACATTTTATAAAAGCGGTAATTTCAAATGCACAATTAAATCGACGCCTTCAACTGTTCGTCCCTGCAAACTGTTGAAGACTTGGAAGTTAAGATTAGAATTATTATATACTTACAAATAGCTTATTATATATTTTCTTTAGACAAGTTCTCTAATTCTTTTAGAATGTTCGTTTGTTCATTAACTAACGATTGCATGTTTGATAAATATAATTTTATATTATGTTGTCCATTAAAAATAACTGAATTTAATTTGGGGCTAGGGTATAATTCTGAGTCTTTTTGACAATTAAGCAGTTTGACTAATTTAAGGTTTTCTTTTTTAAATTGCTCGTTTTGGTTTACTAAATTTTTTAGATGACTTTCAGTCAGCATTAATTTCGTTGCAAGAAATCTTTTTTTTCTCTCCAGATTTTCAGATTGTGCTTTTTCTTGGGTTAACATGGTAGCTGTGGTATTTAAAAGACAAATAATTTCTTTTAATTTATCAATCTCTGATACAGTACAACGTTCGTCTTTGTTGGAACAATGTTGGTCATATGCCATATTAATAAGTTTTGAAAATGTCAACTTATGATTTATTTTATGCGAGTTAAATTCTGGATTCGTGGAATGTTTAACGGTAGTAATTTGATGTAATTCATAGGTATTTGTTCCTTTCTTTCCATGGATTGCCAGGAGAATCTTTGCGAATACTAGGAAAGATAAAAACAATATTTATTAATCAGTAATGTATCTTATGATTGGTACTTGTAATTAAGTATTAATTAGGTACCTTCTTGAAGGACTAACAGCAAAATAATTAAAAAGAAATACGTGACTTTAGAGATTTCAGTTAGCGGGTTCAAAGTAATAATTAACCATTTTTATATTTTGACTTGAGGGTTTTGCACAGCGTTCTAAAGCTAAGATACTTACCACAGGCAATATGCAGCTTCTTCTTGAGAGTGGCTAACAGTTTTGTCTTTGCTTTAACACTCGTCTTGTACAATCGAAATTCATCAAATATAGGATTTAAATGTTTCTTATCATTTTTATTCTTGTTTCGTTCCAAATGAAACCTATGAAAATATTTGTATGAAATTAAAGTCCTGTATTATCACGGTCATTATTTTATTTTATGTCGAACGAGTCTACGGGACGCCTAAAGAGGACAATCATCGCAGACCAACGACACCCATTTTTAGTCTTTTAAATCTACTTAAAATTCCTCGGTGTTTTAAATTATTAAAACTCTAAAGCACGTGAAATTTCGGGTTTTATAATTATAATTTCAAAATAATCGTCTTCATCCGGTTAACGTTTTTTGTAGTAATTTTTCTTAAAGGCTCACTGATACATACTTTCGGTGTCTGCTTTTGCGTGTAGGATCTAGGATCATATATAGGTATATGTGATATATTTTTCAAAATAAACAAACTATAATTTAATAAGTTAATTTCAATGAAAATACTCACTTTTTAATTTCATTAGCAATCGAAAATAAGGCATTTCGATTTTTAACATCTTGCTTATCCATATTTTTATTGCCTTTAAATTGTTTTAAAAAACGTAATCGTGTAAACTAATAAAACATCAATAATTATTACATCTGTCATTTCCTATTAACATATTGTCTCTGGGCGTCAAAAATTCATAAGAAATAGAGCACGATTTCCCGCCAATATTTATACGTACTTTTTATAATCTTCTGTTTCAATTACTTTTTAAGATTTTCACTTCGACAAGTGACATTGTAGGAATGAATTACTTGAATATAAGGATCCATTTTCTACCAAGGCAAATTAAGTGAGTGTTAAAATTAATATGAGATTACAATATTATGTTGAATGAAACTTGTTGTTTAGTTTTATGCTTTGATTATTTATGTCAGGGTTGTCCGAAAGAAACTGCTTTAACTATGAGCGCCTTTACATCGTTTAAATTTTTTTCCTGTTTTGTAATACTTATGTAAATAAAGTGTTATTTATCCAAACAGAAATGAAATCGTTCACCTTTCTACTACACCCTAGGGGCTTCATAAGATTTTATGCATAATAGAAGCCATAAATAACTCAGTCTTAGTGTTTTTGAGATTATTGCTATGTAATTAACAGTATTAAATATACTAAAACAAAGTTCTCGTAATACTAATGACTATGTATTATTCGATCATTAGTTTCGTATGTAGTGTATAACTTTATACGTATATTTATATTTTATATTACATATTGACTGTAAAATAATGTAAATTAAAACCGCAAACATGACAAGTCTGTTCTAAGGGAAAAGTTTTCCTTCCCTTTAATCATTGACATATTGTGTTAATACGTTTATTTATAAATTCGAAGTAGACGCAAGAACAAACGATATGCAAAAGTTTTTTTTCATTTTTTAGGCTAAAATACAACAAAGATTGCACAGAACATTGTGTTGTTTTTTTTCATCTATGGTGCCCAAAGACAAGAGAAATGTTGTACAATACAACATTAGTCCTTTCATTTCATTAAGTCTACAAATCTTCCTAAATACATTAAAATAAGGTTTTTGCACATTGTTTCAGCAATTTCACAAGATTTAAGTTGGCGGCTGGTAGATAGTACCGTCGACCCCATAGCTGGTGCTTTCCTCCCTCAACGATAAAGTATCGCAATACAACGATTGCTGCCAGCAAGTACTGCCACAGGGACCAAACTTTTTTTCTTATCTATTTTTAATAATTACCTTACCTACATAGGTTTTTAAACATATTGTTAATAATAATAATAATTTATTTTCTCCCATATAACATTTACTGTTTATTTGTGTGTTAAAGGAGGCAAACAGGCAGGAGACTCACCTAATTTTAAGTGATACGGCCGCCCATGGACACATTGTCAGAAGGCTCGCAAGTGCGTTGCCGGCCTTTTAAGAATTAGTACGCTCTTTTCTTGAAGCTAATAATAATACTTTATTATTTCAGTAAACAATCATATATATAATGTACCTACCATGAATATTTTAAACGAGTTTCATACCCTTACCATATTCCCACTGACCCAACAAAGAGCCAATATTTTTCTGTGAAAAATATAATGTCCAATCGCCAACCGAAGATACCCATTTAGTTCTAGTTAGGTGTAGTTCAATTGTGCCAGCCAATTTTCCGCCAAACGCCGCTTCGATCCTATTTCGTTTGTTCGCGAGACAGCCGCTTCGTGTGGTAACTATTTCACGGTCGATTTCACCAGCACCACAGGGATACAGACTGTGCATTATGCAATCTTTCGTTCAATTTATAACCTACTAGATATATTCTTTCAACTACGGCTGTAAAGAAAAACTTACAAAATCATTTTCAATATTCAAGACTGCGTTTCTATTTTTATATCGTAACTATCAATAGTTTCACACTCATGCAATCATGCGTGTTGTAAATAGTTTAAAAAGTACGGAATTTACTATTTAGTAGTTATGGGATTTTTTACTTATTCTTATACGTTACTAGCGGACCCGGCGAACTTCATTCCGCCTAACAGTCTAATAATATTCGTGATTATTTGGGATTTCATGAAGGTAATAACATTAATACAACTTTTTTTGCAAATACAGAAATGTTTTATTGCTTGCCATTGCGAAAAATGAATGGCGGTTTTACACATTAGGCCTCTTCTCTCTAGCGCCAATATTACGATACTGACCACTTTCTGATATACAACATTTTTTGTTTTAATATCCGGGGCAAGAACAGTGGCAGGTTTCTTTTGTATGCGTAATTTTTCAACAGATGGCACCACATGCTCTTTACATTCGTAAAATTAATTAATTAATTTATTGTTATTCGATAACTTATCCGATATTTTATTACTTATTCTGCTATTCGGAGCAGAGAAGAATCCATCAAACAGATAACTAACATCGGTCCAGCCGATCTTGAGTTATAAGTGGTGTAACTAACACGTCTTTGTTTTATATATTTAAACTAGCAGACCGGCCCAGCGTTGCTGTGGCTAAGGTTTTTGTTAGATTACATAGCAGTAAACTATTCAAGGGAAACGGTAGGAGAACACCAGTCATGGGGACCACCATGCTTTTTTAGTGGTTATGCCATAAAATTATAGCTTATGTGAAACGTTGGTACTTTCAACACAGCGCCATCTGTTAGAATTGTGACTATCAAATAATAAACTAATATTTTGCAATAAAATAATATTGAGATGTAAGCTATCCTATCTTTTAAGTTGGATCAAACTACGTAGTTGGTCCCAAAGTTCTGTCACTAGCACATTATTTCTACATTTCGAGCAGGATTTTATAAAAAAATTATTGCATTCTATTTTGGAATGTTTGATTATTGTTTTAAAACAAAAAACAATAACTTTCCGTAATTTTTCACGATGGAGTGGACATTGAAAGTAAAACCGAATAGTTGTTATTGCGTTGCACCGCTGTGGACACTCGCCGAGTACCATTTTCAAGTTGCTCAAAAATTTGAATATAACGCTTAGGTTTGTGTACGGTACTATTGATAGGTACCTTGAAGTCTCCAGTGTTGAGGACAAGAAAAGAACTGGCTGCCACGCTCCGCAAGAACACCAGCAGTAATCAAAGCTATCAAGGCGCGGATAGTAAGAAATCCTGTCCGAAAACAGAAGTT